GAGGGGTGACTCACAGATGGGCATGACTGATATCCATGATGTAGTATTTCCTTTCTCTTTGTGTCGTATTCATGTTTGACTCATACAGCCGTGGGCAGTGCGACCACCAGCGGATCGTGAAATCGAAATTCTGGCTGGCACCAAGTGGCACATCCACTATTTTGGAGCAGATTATCTCCGACGTCCAGCGTCAGAAAGACCTTGCGAATAAATGAATGAACGTATCATCACAGCACGAACCATGCAAAAATCTAGCAGCTCCCCTGTAAAGCGCTTTCACACAAGACGGTTGAATCACGTATTATCTTTCATTTCCTTCATCATGCCGTAGCCTGGTCGCGTCCCATTGCCATGTGACAACTACTCCTACGATCCCTCTCCCAAAGAGCGACCTATGGCTACTCAGCCTTCGCCATCCCTCTTACAAACCACCCGCCAGGAACAGATGGCTGCTAGCCCACCTGGTGGCGGCCCGCGAATGGAACCAAGTCAGGACAAGACCTATCGAATAGTCAATAAGCAGCATCATGTGGACACATGGTGAGGTGAGCTCGGTGTTCGTTGACGCCTTCAGATTCAACTTGAGCTCCTATTTCGATCAATCCCTGTTGTGCTTCTGTCCCTGGCCACATGCTCGACGAAGTGCATTTATGGCTCCCCTGCGGTATGCCCAGCACAAATCTGAAATCTCGAGGACACAGCATTTAGTTGGGCGCACCCTTCTGAAGCGCGTGAATCACAAAGTTGACCCCAATTGGAAGAGCCCCTGGCCTTCAACCGCAATGGGTGACACTGCGTCCACGTTGCAAAACTTCTCGTCAAACTCACGGCAAATTCCCGCCACCTATCCCTCCCGCCCCCCACCCCTTTTCTGTCAGCATCAACCCTTTGTCAACGTTGGCATGACTCAGCAGCAGTACCTAAAAGTGGGACGCGCGCTTCAGCACACAGCGAGAGTGCCGAGACTCTGCACGCCTGTCTGACGGGGCCCAGAGCAAGCCCCATTTGGCCCACGACACGTGATTAGCGATCGTAACTATCATCTATTGCATTTGCTTTCATGGGAATTAGTCAATGGATCGACGTCAAGATGGTTGGCCAGATTATTGCACACTTTTCGGCATGCCGAATATTGACCACGATTCCATTTGGTGGCACTTTATTGGGCTTATGCGCGATATTCACCACCGTCATTTTGCCGTCAATGGAGACATGTGATGGGCAGGTGACGTTGGAGGGGCGTCCGGAATGTGGGGCCCACGGGAAGGCGGGACTGCCAACAGCTGGCCAAGTCGTTAAATAAAGATTTAGTGATTTTGTTGGCGCCATGCAAAAGAGAGGCCGCTGCACAGGCCCTCTCCCATTTTCGCTTGCACATTGTGCTTCGTATGGCGGCGACCGAACACCGTTGTTGCTGGGTTGTATCACAAGAATTAAATTCATGTGAGAGCTTTCTCCCAGCCAACGGACTCTGACCCGTGCTTTCCCAACCACTCCATTGCCGTGGCTGCGGGGGCTGATGGCGTTATTCCGTGAAGGAGAGCCGATTTGTGCAGGCTGTGCGCACGGAAGCATAAAGAAAGCCACGTACGGGCATCCAGCAAAGATGACGACCAGTTTAACGGGATGGACACTCCAGCAGGAAATCACTGCATCAGAAAGAAAGGGAGATTTGGAAGCCGCCACCTCGCTGCGAGGTCCCCGAAAGAATGTAAAGGGATGAAGCCACATGCTCGTCCCATGTTATAAGTGCTTGAAGCAGATATCGCAAATGTGATAGAGCTACAGCCCACAATGGTCGTTGGTAGACAGTGGAACCGAGCGATGACCAAGAGCAATTCGTGGTGTGACAGCTCCGCGAATTCGCGAGACATTCATGAAGCATTCGACGGACGCAGCCCTCAAAATTGAACGCGAGTCTCCAATGACGTCCCCGAACGTGCCCGCGGCGCTTCCGTCGCGCGGCGTCCGGTGCTGTCCAAGTTCTCGGCTTCGCCCCGCGGTCGCTCATTAGCGCGCATTACCGGCCTGATTTCGGCCCCACGCCCCCTTAACCCCCCCCGACGCCCGCCCACAGCGGCAGCAGGCAGACCCGCAGGGCGCTGTCGAGGCCTTGGCGCTGGCCAACCCCCAGCAGCCATGCCGGAGTCGCCGCCCTCGCCCTCCCCAATCCCCGGCCTCCTCAAGGGGCCCGCGCCCAGCGGCAAGCTGCCATCCCGCAGCTCGACGCCGCAGTCCGTGCTGGCGGACCGGTATGTGCTGGGTAGCGAGCTGGGCAAGGGGGCGCACGGCCATGTGTACAAGGCGCTGGACAAGAAGTCCGGCTCGTTCGTGGCCGTGAAGCAGATATCGCTGGCCGGCGTGCCCAAGGACAACCTGTCCAGCGTCATGGCCGAGATCGACCTGCTCAAGGACCTGAACCACAGGAACATCGTGAAGTATTTCGACTCCATAAAGACGCGCAACCACCTGTACATTGTGCTGGAGTACATGGAGAACGGGTCGCTGGCCAACGTGATAAAGCCCAGCAATTTCGGCGCCTTTCCGGAGCACCTGGTGTCGGTGTACATTGCGCAGGTGCTGGAGGGCCTGAAGTACCTGCACGAGCAGGGCGTGGTGCACAGGGACATCAAGGGCGCCAACATCTTGACCACCAAGGAGGTGAGGCTGAGCGCAGATGCACGTAAAAAAAGGGGGGCGGCTGGATAGGGAGGGCGCGCAGAGGCAATCAGCCTTTCTGCAACGTCGCAGCCGCCCGTCCGTCTTGCCTGTGGAGGCGATGAATTGTTAATCCTGGAACCGCGTGTTGCTGTTTTCAGAGCAGCTGGGCGTTGCCTGGGCAGCTTGAGGATGGTGGTGGATTGTGCTTGATGGTGTGCTGTTCGTTGCTGCGGCCAGGGCCTGGTCAAGCTCGCTGACTTCGGGGTCGCGGCGAAGCTGACAGAAAAGGGAAATGAACTTGTTGACCATTATGATGCGGTGGCGGGCTCGCCGTATTGGATGGCCCCGGAGGTGGGCATGGCCATGACGTGTCGGAAAGGCCATTATCTTTTCCACCTTGACAACGCACTGCTATTTGCCCTTCCAGTGTGACACCACAGTGGCGCTGTGACAGTTCAGCATTGGGTTGGCATCGTGCTCATTGACTGCAGGGTCATAGAGGCTACGTTTGGCCTTGGTCGGATGTGTTCCTTCCTGTGATTGTGCTGTCAAAGTATCTGCAGCCATTCCTTGATTGCACTTGAAAGTGGGTCAAAGCACTGCCCTGTCACCTTCCACCCGATGATGAGCCAGCAGAAGGCCTTCAGATGTGCAGATACATCCGGACACAGTTGACATGGCCTTGGGGCACAGTGCACAGACTGTTGCAAGACATTTACCCGCATTACCCAGTGGAGATGCACACCATGGACTACTATGGTCGCACTGTTGTAATGGGTGCATGCGTTCACTTTCTCTGCATCGGCATATCTTTATCCGAAGTAACAAATAATCAATGAGCTGTTTCATTTGCACTCCTGCTTGCGAATCTGATGTATTTGCCCTGCTTGAATGGCATAGATTATTGAGATGACATCAGTCGGCCCTGCTGCTGACGTATGGAGCCTGGGCTGCTTGGTCGTTGAGCTGCTGACTGGCTATCCTCCCTACTTCGACTGCCAGCCCATCCAGGCCCTGTACAAGATTGTCCAGGATGACTGCCCGCCATTTCCGGAGCACATTTCTCCTTTGCTGGACGACTTTTTGATTCAGTGCTTTCACAAGGTACCGATCCCTGTCACCATATGTGATGCCCTGGCTGATGGTAGTTCCACCGCTGACAGCAGCACACCTAGAGCAGGGTTTGCAAGATCTGGAGGCTCTTGCTGTTGGAGAATGCATTCCGCAGGTGCCTTTGTGGAGCTCAACATTGGGCAACATGCCAGAACGCTCATTGTAAAAGACCGCTGGACAGGGACATGGTGTTTGAACATGCATATGTTGACATTACGCATTGTTTTCATTGTTTTGAGTTTGCCTCGCAGTTGTATTATGCTGAAGCCTCACATTGCAGTGTTTCCTGTGAACCAATTGACGCATGGCCACTTCTGTGAATGGCTATGGCTGTTTTCTACTGGATGCTGTGGACACAGGGGGGATTTCAAAGTCCTTGGCAATTGATTGATCTTTGTTTGTGCTGCAAACTCCATTGTTGAAACTTTGGATGTTGTTGACTTTCAACACTGGGGCTTCGTAGACAATGTGCTCTCAGTCCGTTCGGTGCAGGTCGTGGTTCCCTGGCAATGTGCACAGTCCAGCAGCCATGCTATGTTTTCTAGGAACCAGCAAAGCGGGCAACAGCCGCGATTCTTTTGGAGCATGGCTGGATTCAGCATCATAATCGAACTTTGAAAGCCACCTGGAACAGGAGCAAGAGTTTGCGTTCGCACAAGGCTTCCAATGATGACACAAGGGCCAGTGTGTCTGTTGTGGTTGAGCGCATCTTGCAACATCAGAACGAAATGCAAGACCAATACCTGGACCCAGAACAGGTAGTGTTCAGCTGCAGGGAAATAGGGTCAGCAACAGGACGGAACCATGGTTGTGAGCTTGATGACTGCCAGCCGTGTGCCTGCTGATTGTTGTCTATTTCGTTACAAGATGGCAATGAAGCCTTGTGTTGGAGTTTTTGCTGAGATTCCTGTCAGGGTTGCTTGGTACCTCACCTGCAAAGCATCCAGCACCCTGTGTTGTTGTTCATGGCCACTTGAAGATGACAGGAAACAGCTGATCCCAGTTTGAACAGATCATTTGGATCCAGTTTGTTGTCACAGGAAAAGTGCAGCAGCATCCTCTTTCAGGCACCCACCATTTGCAAGCAGCTCTGACCTCATCGCACTCCCCACCTGTTGGTCTTGTTACACAGGACTTGACACGCTCTCTTCATGCCACAGACTCCAAGCCCAGAGGCAACACAAAGCCCTGTTCCTGTATTGCGTACGGGACAGGCAGCGGACAATGCTGTGCGGGACAGTGCAACCACCATCAGTGCAAGGCAGGCAGAGGGTGACGAGGAAGAGGAGGAGGGGGAGGACGAGGAGGGATACTACTCCACAGAAAGATACCAATTAGACCCACAAGATGGGCATCTGGATGCTAATGAGCCCGGGTGCTCAGAGACTGATGGAAACTCTGGGATGCAGAGGCAGGTGGGAACATATTAGCACTGTGTCGCTGTGCTAATGGCAAGGAACTTGTGTGCATTTGTGGTTGCCGATCGGATGTGCAAGCCAGTGCATTCTCCAGATTGATGCTGGAAAAGTTCAGCATATGGCCACTGCAGGCTTGCTAATTGGAGAATCCCATCCACAGGTGCACAGGCAGCAATTCCAATTGCTCATGGCTGCTGTGCTTCATGAAATATCCTCCTCCTCTGTGAAATGTGCAAATGTTGGTGAATGGGTTTGGGGAATTTGAAAGGTTTCCATGAGGATTTCATACAGCCTAACTGGAATGCACCGATGTTGAGCACAATATGGTAATTGTGGAATCTTTGTCTATTTTAGATCTAATTTGTGTCCATGTTGCGAAGCATTTCCAGGTCCAATTGTTGTGGCAACCAAGCTGTCATTCGTCCATACACAATAGCCTAGGTCCCTTGCCCAGGCCCCTCCTGGGCAAGCATCAGAAGCCTGGGCATGTTTCTGTGGGCTTGTGAGGTTGAAAGCATATCTTGTTTCACTGCTGAGTGCCTGGCACGCAAGTCCGCCAGCCTTGTGCTTATCTGTATGTACCACAGCGCTTGTGTTACCAACACAGCATCCTCTGAGAGCAGGTTTCGTGATATTGCTGTACAGGGTTCTGCCGGTAGACTGGCAAGCACCAGTGGGCTGCAATTGCTTGGAGGGGGGTCCAGCCGGCAAATCCCATTGGCGACATGCCTTCTTGGGCAACACTCAAGAGGTGCTGACAACACCAGGCACTGTTTCCCCACTCCAGACTGTTATTTTCTGTTGTTGATTGTGCAAACTGCCTGCAGAGCGTCAATATACCTGCTTTGCGTTTCTTTAGCTGGTAGACAGTGAAAATAGCTGTGATGTCAAAGAATATTGGATTGGGTCGGTTGCCTCTTTTGCACAGCATATTGTCTGCATGATTATGTCTGGGAGAATTGGTATTCTCGCTAGGAGGATTTGAACGCAAACAACGCAGAATTGCAAGACATACTTCACCATACTCACTGTTGTTGACCCATAAGTTGTGTTGCCTATGTGGTTGTTGCAGCCTTCTGTCCCAATTGCGATTGATCTTGCAGCAAAGGACACTGTGCATCAGCAAGGAGCATGTGTACAGCATGTGTCTACAAGAAAGCATTATGGATTTGGGTGCTGTGTATGCCATTTTCAATTTCTCTTGTTCCTTAGAGATGCTTCGAACCAGAACATGCCCCAACAAAAGAAACTCCCTGTGTGGAGTGACCATCATGCCTACAGTATGCTGAGAACTTCACTGACAGGATAGCATCATTTGCATCTGCAGCGATATTGGCTGGTAGTCCTGCTCACCCAAGATGGATGGAGCTGCTGTCGCCTTCCATGACCAGGACCCGAGTGCACCATTTAGTTTCCTGCATTATGATGCTTGCACTTTTGGGGGCTTTATCATATTGCTTAGTTTGTAAGAGCAACTCCATTTATGCAGGGCTGTCATTGCCTTTTAACCATTGACCATAGCCAGTCATTGTCTTTGCTGCAGGTGACGACTTCGGTAGCCAGCATCATGACAATGTGCTGTCAGCTGGAACAGTCGTGTCTGCTGCAAATTTACAGGTGCGTTCACTTTAGTACACTCTGCTTTTCAGCCGTCCACTGCCTCCGTCTAATCGTTTTGCCTTCAACTTGCCACGGCATGTTCTTTGCCAAGAATCCCAGAGCTACCTTGCTCATGATCGTGGATGGACGATCATCACCAAGTGTGTTCATGCGTCATAGATGGCTGGATGTGTCTTCAGTACTGGCTCGCTCCATGATACATCACTGCAGAGCAACATGCAGCCTAGTGTGGCTTGTTTTCCTTCCATTATCATCGTTGTTATCATTGCTTCAGAAACTGTCAGGTCACAGATAGATTTTCAGGAGACCATTTGGTGTGTTAGTTTCATTCCCTCACAGAAGTTCACGTAGCCAATGGTGATGACAAGACAGGATTTGGGTTGTTGATGATTCTCCCCTCCTGTCATTGCCTACCGCTATTTGCACTAGGAAATTTGAGTCGAAGGCTGTTCCATAATTATCCGAGACTGTTGCAAATAATGGATGGAACAGGCACACAGCCAACGATGTCCCCGCTGATTTAAGTTCTGTGTGGCCTGACATCTTCTTCCATTTGTTCTGTAGTGGCCAAATGGACGAGTGCAAATGTACACTCAACCCTCAATCGCCAGTGTGTCTGCATCTGGCCTTGTGGATGCCACCCTGGATGTGGACACTGGACGGCAGGAAGCTGTTGAGATGCGCAGGCTTGTGACAGGCTTGCGCCCATATCTGGCACCTACCCAGGTGGCAGCAGAAACTGCAAATCTGGTTCAATTACTCAATTCCAATCCAGGGAAGAAACCTGTCTTCTTGACTGAAGGGGGCCCAGTTGTAATCGTGGAATTGCTCAACACAAAAGACCTCAAGGTGCTCACCACGTTTGTCATGTTCTGATTGCTGTATTGCTTTCATGAAGGAAAAAATTTTGCCTTGCTGCTAATTAAAGGCTGGTTGCTGGCTAATGTGTGGGGCATTGGGTATGGCTTTGCTCACATAGCTTCCCCTTTTGCAACAGAGCATCCTTGCTGCTGTGTATGGTGATTAGAAACATGGCCCTTGCATTTGAGATGGCCAGGAGGATTTTGGGCAGGAATTCAGACGCCTTGGATTGTGCAACATGGGAGGCTGCCTACAGCATCAAGAGACCAGTAGGACTGTAATCTTGAATTTGTGGACACAGTGCAGCTGCAGAAGGGACAGTCTGTTTTGGAAAAGGATGCAATATTGTTGGGGCAGTGGCTGAGACCAATTCTCTGCTTTGATTGGTCTTGCAATGCGCGGTGCGGAAAAGTTGTATACCCACTGTCGCTCCCTACCCTCTCCCTTGTACTCCTTGCAACATTCACGTTACCATCTCACTTCTGTGACTGCCTGTCAACAGGTTTTGGAAGTTGCCTTGGAACTGGTGAATGTCTTGTGCACAGGAGACCCCAGGACGTTGGAGAGTCTTTGTGTTGTTGGCTTGGCACCCATTGTGTTCAGATACGCCAGTGCTTCTTACCCAGCCAGGATCAGACACCAAGCAGCACGTTTCGTGCACCTCATGTGCCACTCAAGCATACACACTGTGGAATTGTTCGTCGCCTGCCAGGTGAGACGAGGCTTCGCAAAGTGGCCAAGATACACTGTTCCTGACGATGCTTTGACACAGCCGCAAGATGTTCAGCTGGGACTTGGTACTGTGAGAATACCTTGGCAAAGATTTACTTGTTGACACCGTGTTACCCGTCCAAGCAAAGCAGATGTGGATATTTAGTACAATGCGCAGAGTCAGTTTGTTTGGCACTCCTGTATCTCACACATTGGCCTCCACACGCAAGTGGAAAGGATGCTGTGAGCTCACACGTTCTGTATTGCATACCGATCTGCTACAATGGCTGCAGTATCATGTGTCACAAACTGTCGAGGCTGTTGTCTGTCCAGCTGCACCTCTTGAAAGTGTTACCCCAGTTTGAGCTTTTGGTGTGAATCCCTATTTGGTGGTGCTCCCCTCAGGGTATTCCAACACTGGCTTGCCTATTTGAGGAGGGTGTGCAAGACAACATGCACTTAGTCGAGACGGGGCTGGCCTGTGTATGGCGCCTGATCGATGTCCATGGACCACCAGCAACAAAAAATCTTTGTCGCCTTTTTGCCACTACAGATCTTCCCCACAAGCTCGCCATGGCACTAGTGTCAATGGTCAATGACTTGAAGGTAAGAGAACATGTGGAGTGTGTGTTTGTTGTGGGTGGTGAGGTGTGCCGGTTATTCCTGGCAGGCTGTTCACTCGCCCGGATTTGTCGCCAGCTGTTCATTTGCTGTTGGATTAAACAGATGAAGGCTTTAGCTGCCGCTGGCACTGAAAATTCAGATTGTTGGAAATTACACTAGCTATTATGAGACGCCCGCTGCCCTCTGTTTGTATGCAGAATCTTGACGAACTTCGAGGTCAGGAGCAGCAGAGTGGAGGAGCAGGTGCTGCCGCCAAGTTGCGAATACCTCTCAATGGTTCTCATGATGGGGTGTGGTCGAAGGAACCTTCTGTCAGTGGGACACCAAAATCCAATCACTCTGTGTCTGTGGGCTCGGTTGCATCATACCCAGCAAGCACAGCGCGCAGCAGGCCTCCTGCATCACCTAGTCAAAGGGAGGACCCAGGGCAACTTTGCCAGCAGCTGCGGGCACTTGCAGAACACGCGAGCGAGCTCCTGTTGCTGCTGTCGGACTGTGATACAGCTGTGCGGAGTCACCTGTGCGAAAAGGACACCCTGGGTCCTCTGCTTCGAGAGGTAATGGGACTTGTGGAAGGTGTTGCTTACTTCTCAATGTGGAATTATTACCGAGTAGGAACAGGACTCTGGAAAGGAACTGAATGGCCGACAGTGTGGCAAGGGAGTACAACGATATGACACGACTTGAGTTGGGAATGGCTGAGAGTGCCGGACTGGGATTGAGGGTGCCTGCCTACATGAAGAGACATGTATTCCAGTGGACTGCCACCATCATCATGACTGCATGAGAACTCAAATGTGTTTTCCTGTTTGCAGTTGACCGTTCCCATGTCGTTTTGTTCTGTGTTTTCACAGCTTCGGCATTGGCCCACAATCATCCTCTTCAAGATCGCGAAGTGCCTGAAGCACTTGAGCAGCGAGCCTGAGCTGTTGGGCCAGATGCAGGATGCAGGCACGCTGGAAGTTCTGGTGCACATGCTGTCCCAGGAGAGGTCTGTCAAGAATATGGAGCTAAAGAAGGAAGTCTTGTCCACGATCTACAACATGTGCAAGATCAACCGAAGTCGGCAGGAGCAAGTCGTGGCTGCAGGAGTCATTCCCCATCTTTGCCGCTTCTCGTCGGAGCCCCGGCGACACGACAATGAGCAGGAGCTAAAGCTGCGGCAGGCGCTCAGGCCAACGGCTGTCTCCCTGCTGTGTCGATTTGCACATTCCAGTCCGTACACTAGGCAAGAGATTTGGTCCAACGATGGTCTTACTCTCATGCTGCGTCTTTTGGTTGAGGAGCAGTGGCAGCCCCTGATTCTTGACGCCCTTGCCACATGGCTTGAGGAAGACATCCACCGCGTGGAGCCGAAACTGATGTACCAAGAATCGATCGAGCGGCTTGTGACCCTGCTGCAGTCCTACAGGCAGAAACAGAGCGCGGTTGCCGGCGTTTTGGATCCGCTGCTGAGGATGCTGCAGCGTTCAGACAAGTTGAGCCGGCAGTTGGGACAGGGCGGGCTGGTGCCTGTGATCATGGAGATGCTTCGAACAGCAGACGCAGCAACGTCTCTGAAGCTGCTTAAAGCCCTTCGCAGCATCTACGAGATGCATCCCAGGCCAAAGGTGCGCAAAGTGCCCTCTCCTGAGCAGGAGAGCGCACAGGTGTCTTTCTCCACGTTGCATTTGGCTACACGCTCTGCCCCGTATCCCCTTCTCACCTCACTCAGAAAGTACATGTCTTGACTCGCATCAATTGTAAACTCGTCATCAACTATTTTTCATCATGGACACAATCTGGAGGATGCAATCCAACTGTCTGGTGGATGTGCGCTGTCGACTGTCGCTGCAGTTGTTCCTTTGTTGAGATGCGTGTCTCTGAACGCTTAGGAATTTATCAAGCGATATGACGTGGAGAGGCACTTGCATCGCTTGGCGTCTGGCTCCGCAAGCGGCAGCCTGTCCGGGGAGGTCCGAGTTCTGGTAAGAAAGGCCGCCCAGGAGCTGCTGAGGGCCTTTCAAATGAACCAAATATGGTGATGTTGCTGAGCTCCTGAACGATCACCACTCGACACCAGGCCAAATCCTGGCGCCCACATGCATATATGATAACAACGCAGGAGAGCGACTTGTAGAAGACGCTGCGCGAGGACGTTGCACATAGTTTGGTCTGTCGGCAGCAGGGTATGGTGTTTGCTGCCGCGGCCATGCCTCGTTCCTGGGCAGTCCAGGTGTCACATTCCTGGTGGCTTTTGTGTCGGCACAACAGTGCTGCGCTCATTTGTAAGAAATGCATCATGCATGCGACTTGTAATTGATCCTGTACTTTGTTGGCGATTGTGTGGACTTGTGCACGTGCCCCCTTGCTCTGGGAGCGCCAGTCGGATTGTACGCTGCAGGATGTCACCAGCGGTTATCTCACTACTGTAGCGACCTGATTGCCTGGCCGTACGACTGTTTGGTGGGAGAATTGTTCGACGCGCCACGCGCAATGTCAGTAGATCGGGCTGCTGAGGCAACCGACACGCACACCCCTCGACATTATTCATCAGCTGACGGCCAGAAAGACTAGCCTTACGCACAATGACACGAACACACCCATGGGGCAGCAATACACAGTTGTATCCATCAGCAGCACAACGGGATCTCGTGGCCACCGCCAGAAACAACTTTTCCTTCCCCTGCTGGGCCTGCAGTGATCGCATCAAGACCTCAGCGGTGCCGTTATTCATGGCTTTTGTTCCATCGCCACTATTAAAGGGAATGGAAGAACAATCCGAGCACCAGTCACTCCCTCAGAGCACGTGCTGTGCAAATCAATGGCCCTGTGTCAGAGTTGACACCTGGCTGTGGCAAGCATTCTGGATGTGGCCAATCATTCAAAGCTGCAGAAACTGGTGTGTGCACATGTGTGTGGGCACCCCCCACAGAGCAGCTACTAGAACGTGCACAATCTCCTCAAAGTGCGTCCCCTCAAGGTGTCCCCTTGTCAAATCCCCCCAAAATTTTGAGCACCAGGCAGGCACCTAACGTCATACACAAAGCTGGCGATCAGACTGTCAGTACCATCAGCTGCCTGGAGCCACCGTTGGTGCGTAGCGATAGTGCCACACCCAACAGCAGGCAGGCCTCTCTCAAGTGCTGACAATCGTTGTCGGCCTTCTTCAGTGGCATTGCTAAGCCCAGTTGCAAACATGGATCAACTTGCAAGGTAACCTTGGTGGCACACCAGCCCCAGGTGGCCCCCCAGATCTGATGAATACCCATTCATGCCGAGCTTAAAAACGGCCAACGCACGCAGTTTCACCACCAGTGGCGATCTGTCACCATATCTCCATCGCTGGTGCCTGACACCACAGCTAACTGCCACACTCCCAGTGCAGGCCTGCAGAAGAAGACAATGCCATGGACATGTCCTCCATCGATGCCCTGACGGTTTTGAATGGATTCGCCCCAACTGCTTTGCCTGTTCAGGTTTTCCTCACACAAATTGCTGCGACAGTCATCCCACACTTGTTGCTTCCCCAGCACGCCTGAGGCTCTTCAGTGTTGTGGACAGCCAGTCTAGTCCCTCATACATACCCTCTCCCCTACCAACACACAAACCAGCAGAGTGAGCTCACGTTACTCTGGAAACAAACAAAGACGTCCTGTCCCTGTTAGCAACATGGAAATGCACATCGAAGTCCAACAGGTGATTAACCATATGGGCACCACATTTTTCTGATCGCATACAGTTACAGCAGAGATCCTATGTGTGGACAGCGAATGAGGGAAAGAGTAATCGCTGTTTGCTACGCGCTCTAAAGGCTGATGGAAGGTGCAGGAAGCGGCATTTCAGTCACATGTCTGCCATGCCAGGGCTGGTTCTTGTGGCATTCACTGGTTCTCCAGAGATGTCGAGGACACAGCTATTGGGCCACAGCACGTACAACTGCCAACCACAATGTTCCTCATCTGCACACCATGGCCGTGCATACAGGTAAAGCATTGGGGCTACCTGATTGCAACCGAAGCCTGGACGTGCCACCTCCTCCCTCGCAGCTCAGGCAATCCCAGAGCCTCACAGACATCAGCTGTTGTCAGGCAGCCATTCTGCAGAAGAAAGTGGCATGGAATTCACTCACCCCGTCGAAAGGAATGCACCATGCATACATTGTCTTGGACAATTGGGGTTTTGGCTCTCGCACATTTGGGTGCAGTCGAGCACAAGTCAGATGGGAACACCCAGCAGGCCTGTTGGCATGCTATACAAAGCATGCAATGCAGCTCTGAGCTGCTCAAGCACGCCCAGGACCAGAAGTCGACAATATGCCGCAGCGCTTGGAGACATAGGGCGGGAGGTGATCAGGCTTCGCGACGGGATCAGCAGAGCCCCACATGGACACAATTCTGGCTGCAAATAAGGACGTGGTGCCCTCAATCCGGACGGTGAGAGGAGGGGTACCAGTACCAAGCAGCCGTGAGATCAGCGATACAGCACGCCTGGCAACGCTCACCATGTCCTGCTTGTTTGCGTACACCAGGATTGCACTGTTCCGCATCAGTGGATCTTCGATAATTGTCTGTGCACAAGCAAAGAACATCAGCCGCAGCTTAACCAATTGCTGAAACGGGAATGGCGCGGTGAGGAACTGCGTGCTCGCCATCCATTTTTCTCTCGCGGCGCCGCACCTTGAACTCGAAGGCCGCCTTGTCTATCCTGTCCCTGTCCTGGGAGTCCACCACAAAGATCAGCGCGTCCGTATTATTGAAGTAGTGCCTCCAAAGCGGCCGCAGCTTCTCCTGGCCGCCCACGTCCCACACTGTAAACACCACGTTCTTGTACTGCACCTTCTCCACGTTGAACCCTGGATACCCACGACCACCACAAAGTGACGCTCCCGATCCACGCCCACACGGCCGGCCATTGGTGCCGGCAATTTGGCGGTGGCTGTGCAGCCGGGGTGAACATACCAATGGTGGGCACCGTGCTCAACACCTCTCCGATGTGCAGCTGATACAGGATCGTCGTCTTTCCCGCCGCATCGAGCCCCAACATCACCACCTGCGCGCAGGCGAGCAGCAGGGCCCGCACCGATCAGGGCCAATTCCCGCAGCCGATCTCATCGTGGGGACGGCACCATGGTCGCCTTTGGCCTCACCCGCATCTCCCTGTTGCCGAACACTTTGTCCAACATCTTCTTGAGCGCGTTCCCCATTGCGAAGGATTCCCCCGGGAGGCGTGTGTGGATCGGTGATCGTGGTGTGGGTGGGTGGGGGCCGTGGGCGGGCGGCGGGCAGCGGGTTTTTTGCCGCCGGTTGGGGCCCCGCCAACGTGCAAGTGGCAGGCTGGCGGGGACACGTGTCCCGGGGCCGGAGCTTCGACTGGAGTGCGTCCCCGAGGCCGTGTGCAAGTTTGGGGACCGGGGTTGCCGCCCAGTGGAACGAGCGGAAGCTGGCTGCGTCACGACATGGCAGGGGATTGGGTGAAAATGAGGGGGCGGGGGGTTGCGCTTGGGGTGTGACCAGCGAAATCATGGGCCTCAGGTACCTGCGGTGAGGGGGGCTGGAGGCCAGAACGAAGCTAGCAGGGGAGGACACATGGGCGCTGGATGGTGCCCTTGTGCGACCACGGGTGTTGTTGCACCTTCCTCATAATGGCAGCAAATTGAAGAAGATGATCGAACAATGGTGCAAGAAGGTGTGGGGGACGCCCTGCCCAAGATCGTATTATAATCCTTGCCCTACAGTAACCATTATACTTATAAGGATATGGGAGTAGGAGGGGTGGTCCCGCCTAGGTCCCCGTAAGGACCTAGGTGCCCAGCGAGGTGGGTCCGCGGCTCAAAGAGGGCAGGAGCCCCGCACCCACAGACTTTTCGTATCAGTTGGGTGGGCGCACGCCGGCCAATCTGGACCGGGCTGCCTCTCTGAGCTGTTTCAAGGCCATCAAAAGCCGGTTTCTGTCAACCCCTATACATGGGGGCAGTTCTGACCACCGGATCCAAGGGGCAACTGTGTGATCCTTGTAACTTGGGTGTAGACAAGGGAACCGGTCAAGCTGGCCCTTGGGTTTGGCGGGAAGTTTGGCGTCCAGTGGGAACAGCTATTTGGGCGTGAACCTTGGCGCCCCCTTTATCTTGTTTCGCACCCACCCGGCCCACCCTAATAGAGTGAGTTTTGGTTCGTTGTGGGATGGACAGGGAGTTGAGTACGAGAAAAGGGTAGCTGACTCAGGGTTGAGTCACCATCAGCGTGGCATTAAGTACTATGCGAAGCGAGAGCACATTTCAAGTGGGTCGCCAATCGGGTCTTGTACTAGTGAGGTGATGGACACCAGTACTCTGTGAGTGTAATGTCATGTCGTGTGGGGAACACGGGGTGGGTGGGTGGGCTGAAGGAGACCGGCAAGGCAGAAACCATGAAAATTGACCAACTCCAATGTGGCGTGTGTGGGCAATCGAGTGTGCAGCGCCTCTGGTAGGCAGGCACTGAAGGCATAAAATTACTGCCTGCACCAAATCGGTGACTGCTTGCACCAAGTCACGTGCACATCATGTCCAACTCCGTCCAAACTAACCTAACCTAAAACCTAAACCCTAAAAACTAAACCTAAACCTGTCTTAACTAAACTTAACAAACATGAGTAAAGTTAAAATATAGACTGTCTAGGGTTTGTCTACTGTATTTAGATGACGTGGTAGTGTGGACAAGTGAATCTGAAGTGACCCAAGAATCTTGGGTCTCCTCTGCCTCAGCCATCGGGTGGTCATGCTCCTCCGGCTCTGCTTGACCTGACGACGCGCCGGCAGGGTCCTCTCGGACTTCCTCCATCTCTTGGCCCTTTCAGGCTGTGGCTTCCTCACCGGCCGCACTCCCGGGGTCCCCTCTCGGGGTGCTTCTTCGCCCGTAGATTCGGGCGTGCCCTCTCGGGCTGTGGGGTCTGTTTCCTCAGCCTCCATCGAGGAGGCCGGGGAAGAAGCCCGGTGCCTAGTGCTTGCTCGCGCGCCGAGGCGAAAACGTGGTAGCCACCCCCAGGTGGCTCCGAAACAAATGATACGAAAAGGTTTTGGATATGGGGCTCCTATCCTCTTTGAGCCGCGGACCCACCTCACCGGGCACCTAGGTCCTTACGGGGACCTAGGCGGGACCACCCCATCCTACTCCCGTATTCTAATAACTATAATAGTTACAATGGGATGAGGAATAGTTATCATATCTTGGGCAGGGCGTCCCCCACACCAAGGGCCATTAGTAAGGCGTCCCCTACATCAGGCCGGTGCGCGTAACAGGCGACATGTGACCCGCCAACCCCAGCTCTGCAACCAGCCTCTCCGCCCCCATGCCTTCTCCCAAACCCCACCCGCTGAGCACACCCAGCAAGGCATCCACCTCGCCTTCGATGCGCTGCCAACAGGCAGAATTTTCTGCCACCTGCGCCGTCAACTCTCGGAGGCCATGGGGCTCCTCTGTCCCTGGAATGCCTCGATCCATTTATGCAACCAACATCGAGACGATTGGCTTCCCTTGTGGCGTCAGCAGGCCGAACCGCTACGTTGGCTCTCTTAGAAAAACTTTCTTGCGGTCTGCCTGCTGCAGTGGTGGGTGGCGTGGTTCAGCCGGCACCGATCGCGAGCAATGTAAACCCGCCCATGGCGTAATCCGGCCGGAATAACTCCTCGCCGAACCAAGCGGCGGAAGGTCGGCGCTCGTTCGCTTGAGAGTGGAGTGTGAGCCCGGTCCTGAGCAACAGGCCGAGGCGGGCTGATCGCAGCGCTATGGGTCGCGCGCGCGGCGGCGGGCAGCAGCAAGTGGTCAGCAAGAGTTACAATCCGTCGGGCATCGGGGCCGCCCTTTGGCATGCCCCGCATCACGTGACAATGCAGAGTATCGATAGTATCTCATCCCCAAATACGGTCGTGGAGGTGCCCTTAAGTACTATACCTTCTAATGGCTATATCTCCACTACCGCTAACCCGAATGGTCTGATCCAAGAACCTATAGGTTTCTAGTAAACTCTACTAAGGGATGAGATTGTTCATGAATGTTCATTGTACCTCCCAGATACCCATAATCAAAGAAACACACTACCCCCTGTGCTTTACACCACAGTGGGGAGTAGGGAGGCGGTGTAGTGCTGGGTGCTGCAGATGGTCCCTGATGGACGGTTGTATGGCGAATGTGACCAACCACATGCTCCTTGGAATTTAATGGAGTATCATTTGTTTACTATAATGCGAATTTTCTTGTTCTATTCACCTCACGCAAGTGCATCCATCCATAGCCACATGGGGCGCGCACCATCCTACACCCCTTTTGTTCATGCACTCATCTATCATATGTTGATGATCCCCCCCACTGTATGGCCATTAAATGGAGTCCATCTTTAAGTGGGGTTAATCTTTCCAAGCCATTTACTTTCCATTCCCGCCTAATGTACACAGCCTTGATAAAGTTTAACACCGTTTACTGGACGGTATCTGTGGGCTGGCCTGGGCCGCTAGGAGGCATCTCTGTGCTCATGCAGTGTGGAGAGTTGTATGTGGATGGCACAGTTGAGACGAACCAATGAAATGTAAAATACATCTAATACAAGAGCCCTGATATTCCTGACCCCACCATCACCTGCTTGGGATCCATCCGGTTGTAGCGTGTCCACACACATGAATTTGTACAATTGACGACCTGCACAATTGTTAGGACTGGATTGCTCAGACATGTCAAGCGAACGAATTGCCATTTGATATGGCCAACCTGTCAGCAGAATCCAGTATGGCTTGAGCACCAACACCAGAATTCGCCTTGGCCATATCTGAACGCCTACACTTCTTAATTGTACAAGACAGGCCTATTGCAACTTCATCGTCCGATGTGGTCCTTATTTCTCAACAACCCCTGATCAATCTTACATAACAGATGCACTCTGCCAAACACATGCACATAGGTGCATGTGCTTCAACTCAGGTCGAAGCCCGATGCTGCCTTGATCGCATACAAGAGCTTTCCACGCGCAATCTCTGTGCTTTGGTATGGAGGCAGTTTCAACAGGTTCATGCAGGTGGCTGCTGTTGGCAGGCGATCCTTGGAACTGTCATCAAGGACGGTCCCGGCCATCTGGATGCACAAGTGAGGCTGAAGGTAGTTGAAGCCCAACAGTGGGGCTCTGGAACAGGCAGTCACAAACTTCAAGAAGGCACGCTGGTCTTCTGGAGAGAATGTCCCCAGGGCTTCCCAAAAATGGTGGATAACAGGGTGGCCCTCATGATAACCACCAGCATACTCCACGTTGGCCTGCATGTCCACCAGGTCTAGACCTTCCTGGGAGCCTGATATGAGCATCTGAAGCTCCGCTGAATTGAACGTGCGCACCCAATCCCTGTCAATTACCTCAAAGAAGCCCTGAAGAAAGGCTGCGCAAACTGCCTTCACCTGCTGGTTCAAGCGGTAGTTTGCCACACGATGTATGTACTCTATGGCATTCTTATTTGTGACGAAAATGTCTTGACCTCCTGGTTTCAGCTCAACCTCCCTGTTGTCTCCATAGACGCTGTCCACAATGGTGAAGTTGAGGCTGAGGTCGGACACATCCCCATCGTAGTTCCGCAGCGTCAACAGGCTACGGTACATCTCAGGATCCAGGCTAGGGAGGTCATTGATGTCACAATAAGACGATCGGAACTTCTTGAGGAAGAACTCAGCCAGTGGTAGTTCAAGGAGGATGCCTTCATACACAGCCTTTCCTGTAGGCAATACACAATGTCTGCTGAGGGCAGGACCATAGCAACTGGTGTACCCGGGGTTCCTCTAAACATGCCAGCAGTGCACAACCAAAAAGCCCACAGGCGCCCACATGGACACGATGGCCCCAACTGATCGCATTCTACTACAGAAGAATGTAGCATATGTAGAATGTAGTCAGGCTCAAGCCGCAAGCAGCCTGAGCACACACCCATGGCAGGCTATGAGTTCATATCACCCAGTGCAAACTGATGCAGTAAGAAAACGCAGTCTCACCCAACATCCGTCCAAGGAACGTCAGCAGTTCCACTGCATCTGGCTGGGCAAAAACCGCCCCTGGGTTGGGGTATAGTTGGTTGTCAACCGTTGAGGTGAACAGCGCATACTGAGGGTCAAAGCCCCGTTTCACCAACTCCTCCATGAAGTCTTTGAAGAGACCCCCGCCATCCACTCCAGCCTCAGGCAGCCCATGCTCATCGATGAACTGAATCCGCACTCTGGATTTCAGGGACGCACCCAAGCTATTAAGCTGATTGAAGCCATCGTACAGCAACTGGCTGCGGCGGATTGTCACAAACTTGTTCGTCTCAAAGCTCATCCCCAGAAAAGCAGGACGGTCCTCCGACTGGTGCTTCAATCGGTCATGCTGCACTTGAGCCTGAAAAACTTTGGCCCGCTCCTATGCATCACACTTGCATCAGTATTGGCATCTTTTCCAGTCGATCATTGTCTGAGCTCAAGTTTCACTGCATGCCAAGCAGCAACATCATAGCCCAATGGGATGCACAGCAGTTAAGCTGGTGTGCTGGTAGACAGAAACTCTTAAACTGTGGTGCTGTAGGAACAAGTGATTGTAATGACTGGTGATGTGCACATAAAGCAAAGATGCTGAACAGTTTCAACACTGTGCATGTCGAGTCAGTGCAGTCGGAAGTGATCAGAAAGCTGGTTGCCCAACACTGCACATTTCTGCACCTTTCCATGTATCAAAAACAGCAGCTGCATCTCACTGGTGCTCAAATAGCTGATAAACCCTTCCAAAACGCCGCTTCTGCTGGTTCCAGCTGAGTTTCAGAAGTGGCAGCAACGTCTCCCAATGACAATAGGTCTAACTCTGGTTCTAAGTTTGTCGAACACTATTAAACACGACATGCCTCCAAACACAATGGACAATAGTGTGTGCAAACCTGAAAAGGAATGAGGCATGGAGCACAGTGCAGCAGCTGAAATGCCCTTGAGTCTGCCTCAGTTTCCACATCAGTACCATCAGCAACAGCCTGAGTCACTGCCTTTGCCTCCATCTGAAACTTGTGCATGGGGATGTGAGTTGCGTGGAAAGCCTCCATAGGCGCAAATTTCCATCTTGAGTTGCAGTCAAACAGCTGCCCCAGAAGTTTCCCACAAGCATCTTGAAACTCCATTCTCAGAGATTCTGCAGTTGGGGACTGCATGCTGCTGTCCCCTTCAACCCAATTCACCTGTGAGGTTACGGCACAGTAAGGCACCGTGTTTGTGGACACTCAATCACCTTGCAGCAGAAAAATCAATTCCTACAGCTTCTTCATTGCAAGATAGCCTTGTATGAAAGGGAACTTGTTGTGGATTTGTGACAAACCCTCAAACAGTTACCAGCAACAACAACATACTGACAGCCATTGAATGCTTGTTACCTGCTGATAGTTGGCACTGAGACCACAGGGCTGCTTCAGGGTCACTAGATTCCAGTGCACTTGCCACCCACTTTGCACAACTGCCACAACTCGACAATTAGGATCATGCTCCCAAAGAGTCCACCCAGGCATATGCTAGTGGTACAGGATATGTCTGCAGTGAGTTCCTCATAAAAGGCCAAACTCCTCTCACCTGCCACATTGCCTGTCTCAACATGGGTATGAAGCCGGCTGAGGGGTCTGCACCATTGTACAACTCCAACAAAGGCAGAGGCTCTTGTCTCCGGAACACCTCCTCAACACTCGCTGTCACAAGGAAACAGCTGAACACTTGACACAGAACCAGAAGTGCAACAAGTTGTTCAGCCCCGTTGCCCACTTCACACCCTATAGGGAGTTCCCGCCACGCTGGTCTCAAATAGCTGAACCACATGCGCTGCACAAAATGCATCAAGACTGCGAGGGACACCAACCAAGTCTGCTGCTGCAGATGTGGTTGGCAGCGCAGCACCAGTCCAAGAAGCCCACAAAGTGAAGAGACTCCTTCAGACAGGATTCTTAGATCCCCCAACACCCCCACATCGACAGCCATTTTGTGGGGCAAAATGCCTTGCACCAGCACTCGCAGGAACTCCTGTCCAGGTGCCTCCAGGAGGCAACGACTCTGGGACAGCAGCGAAAGCGGCACATTCCTTCCAGTTTCCACCTGTGCCTGCCCACTTGGCCATACATGAAGACCAGACGTCGATGGCTCGTCGTCGATATCTTCGTCTTGCAAAGCAGGAAACAGCTGCCTGAGCGGCATGAGCGTCAGCAGCCGAAACATAAGGCCCGCAAGCCGGCACCACAACAGCTGAGTCCAAAAAGATCTCCTGCCGGCGTTCATGTTTGCAAGATCTGTGCCAATCTGTAGCAAGTTTCCAAACAACGCTAGTGCCACCTCCCCTGTGCCCACCACACCCTCCACTCCGATGCCAGGCAGAGATTTCTCAGCAAGTTCTGCAGAATCGCTGTGAGCGAGCAGTGCCCTGAGGAGGGTCACCCCGTTGGACTTAATTGACCTGCATCTCTTCCACAACAAAGGTATGCACATGAGCTCCAACGAGCCTGGGCAACTTGGAATCTCCTCTTGTGGCAGTGTTCGTGCTGTGCATTCTAAATGCCAAGCTGCAGTCTGCCCCGCAATGGTTTCCAATGCCGTCAATGGCTGCCCATCCTCAGGGGGACTGCACACCTGCACCATTTGTGAGATGCCTCTGTAAAGGCCCTTTGCTGATAGGTGTCCCAACAATGCTGTGGCTATGCCCCGCCCAGCCACTGATCCGACAGCATGCACCCAGTGCTCTGGCGAGGTAAGTGTGAGGAGGGCATGTGCAAGGATGCAAGCTGTGTCACCAGCGCCTGCCGCCAAAGGGCAGAGGGGTGCCGACAAAAATGGCACAAACTCCTGCCTGGGAGCAGACACACCATGGCCAGTTTGACTGATGACATTCAATATGCAGAACAATGGACAAACTGATGGAAGAATTTCTGCACTGGGCAGATAATCATGACACACCTACATGTCCCAGCGAGTTCTTGAATGGTTACTTTTGAGTGAGCATCATGGCAAAACGTGGCAAAGAATGTCCTTGAACATACACAGCAGGCAGTATGTGATATATGACACTCCTGGTGAACACCCCTGCAAAGTTGGTCTGACAGCGCAGAGAGAGACACACAGATGCATTCTGGATAGCTGTGACTGTTGGAGTGCCAATTCAGTCTGCATATAGCTGCCAGTTCATTTCTTGTGTGCCACAAGCTGGTCAGGAATTTCTGCTGCTTCCAATTTGCAGTATGAAAGGAACGTACCTGTGCCTCTCCAAAGCACACAGGCACAACTCCAGCAGCTTTTTTGTTCTGTGCAGCAACGTCCTGTACGTGTTGTTGCCACCTTGGAATGCTGCACAGAACAGCAGCCTATCTGCAACAATGCAGAGCACCAAGTATGTCATGGTGTGAAACTCAATTACCCACACCTGTCTCAAAAGTACAAAGCATTCGCCATATCACCCACAAAGCGATGTAGAATCATTAGTGCCACTGCCAGGGTCAGAGCAAAACAGTCATACAACACACCAAATCAATGTCCGTACCTAACACAAAACAAACTCATCCACCCCATCGCCTCAAAACAATGCATATGTACCCAGATATCATGGAATGAGCAAGGCAACAGCAAGGCCATTCCTCTCGAGCTGCAACATCCGGACAACTATGATTATCTTTTGCCTGACCCTGCCTGCAGCTCAACAGAGATTAGAAATTCTACCTGGGGAGGTTTGTGCCGTCAGAATCAGCTGGCACACAGCAGCCAGCCTGTGAACGTCTTCCCTGTCATTCAGGTCTATTGAACACAGCAGCTTTCGTAAACATGGGGAGCTGGCGTCCAAACACGACCTGGGCATTAGCACAATTTCTTCTCACTGCTGGAAACTATATGCAGTACAGGTTTGTGGCCTGGGCAATAGGCGCACCGAACATGCAAAGGGCAGTGCATTTTCTGAACTGCCTGTACAGCACCAGTCACTGCGCACAGGCACATGTTGATCCTGAGCATCACTAACAGCCCAAACTGCTGCTCCAGGGATCTGGCCTCCCTGTGGGGAGGTTGCTCTCAAAGAGGTGCCATCCAAGGCAGTGCAAATTGACAAAGTCAATGCGACTGCCTACATAGAATGCCATGTACTGGTATTGTGGGATCATCGATGCCATGGGCCAAAGGTGGCTGAAGACTCAACTGACTGTCTGCAAGTGTCCAACTGAGTGTCCAAGTGCAATGAACGATCACACAGCTGCACGGGCACCACGTCCGAACTGCTTGTCTGCGGTTACACGACTCTGCAACGCACATACGCAACCAAATTGCAATCAGGTCACATGTGGGACTCCTCTACCCAATGGAGGCACTTTGGTGGTGCACAAGGAATATCTTGGGCATTTTTCTGTGCTCTGGAAGTCAGGATCTGGGCTTGCAGGGCTCAAGGGTGCAGTTCCCACCTGTCCAAACGGTCCCCAAAGGTCCCATACTCCGCCACCCACTCGTCCCGGATCCTCGCCCTTAGCTGTCTCACCGCATGCTCGCGCCTCCAAAACGCCTTCACAGCACAAGCACACTCGCAAGATCAACGAGGGGGCATCCGATCAACGCAGAGGTGCCAGCATCAGAGGACAGAGGGTGCTTAGCGGTGTCCGACGCAGGGGCGTCCCTCGATTAGCAGATTTGCCTATCAGGGCAAGGTGGGTTCGCAACGAGCAAGGCGTACAATCTCCAAGGCTATGGCAGCAAACAGCAGTTCTCATCCAGGGACTTGCGAGCAATGCCGCTCGATGAGGCTGGACGCGGCCACTGCCTGGGCGAGGCACGCAAGCCCGTCGCGGGAGCAAGCAGCGCGATTCGCCCGGCAGAGGCGAAATCGCCAATTGCCTCGCAGACCACCACCGGCGCACCTGGATGCGCGTCGCGCTCTCCGCCTCGATCTTCTGCTTCCGTCGCCTCTCCCGATCCCGCCTCGTTCGGTCCAGCACCTGCAGGCGGTTCTCCTCGCCCCTGGTGCGACCGCGGAGGTCCACCTTCTTGCGGGCGGAAAATTCGCCCTCAAAGTGGTACCTGGACATGGCCAGGGGCAGCCACGCCGAAAGGAGGTGTGAGAGCGTTCGCTTTGTGCTTGCGCCCAGGCTGCACCTCCCACGGCCTCTTTGCCACGGGGCACCTCTGGGGGCTTTGACGCCAGTGCGGGAACGGGGTGGTGAAAGACACGCAACGTACAGTGGACACGATGCACTTGCTGCATGTCATGCAGCCAGGGGGCTTCTAGAATGAGTGTTGGTTGACGCCGTTACCCTGCCGTCACGTGAGCAGCACGCAGCCGGCCTACAAAGATGATCATGTGACTGACTCAACGTGATCAAGTGTGATGCGCTACGATGCAGGTGGTCAGTCTATATCGCCATGAAATCTTGCACTTCCTTTAGACCACTTCCTTTAGAATTTTATTTATGGAGACAATTGATGCGATACTGGAATCGAATGGTGGAACTACCCAATTCTTGGGTTCATGGCGCCATTTTCAAGTCCGGGTTTCAACAATTCTCCACCATTCCTCGCTCGTGGTATGGACGGATCATTGCCTTCTTCCATCGATTCTGGCCGGCTCTCAGTTTCACGGAGGCTATACCAGTTGACATACAGTCCTTTCAACGGATATACAAACACGTCCACATCGCCAATGTCTTCACCAGCCATTCTTCAAGAATTCAGGGTTGGTACAAACACACCAAGCCAGTCTACCGCTATGAACGATTCTTGTCAACCTTACAACCTATCTCCTTGAGGACTTTCTTCCTATTGTTCGATTACAGTCCAATCTGCTTACATAAAAGGCCACCACTGTAATCGAGAGAAAACCGTAGAGAAAAGAAAGGCCAATGTGCTCAGCAGAAGTTACCTTGAACCGCATGACATACGGTTGCATTTAGCGGTCCTGCAGCTGCTGAATGATCAAGGCAAACATGTGTACGCTCAGCTTCTCTCTAGTGCACATGAATTGATGCATTTACAGCTGAGATGTCCTCCATCTCGCTGTTTTGCAATGCCGCTCATCAGAACCGTCCAGAATGAGCAACAATGACGTCAATTGAAGAGCACTCTACGGACAGCACGGACGGCTGTGACTGGGCTGTGAACTGGTCAAGGAAAAGGGCGAAAACTAGTCAGCTGGAGCCGCATGCTGATGGGATACAATACAGTTTGACGGTGATGGAATTTGGGTGTACAGAATTGGGTTTAGTATGCGATTATGGTAGATTGTCCAGTACTATTAGCCGGGGAAAAAGAGGCACGGTGTGTGCAGCGCGTGTGGTGAGGGACCCTGAGTGAGAGGTTGGCCGGTTTGTAAGGGCCTTTTGGGTGACTTTCAGAGGGAAAAACGGCCAATTCCTGACCCATTTTGGGGAGACCATAAACCGTAGGGGGTGTCCTTGAATGGACCTGAACTTTTGCAAAAGGTCCTAGGACCTTGATGGGACAGGTACTGGCAGGGTATAGGGGTCCAGTGAGGCGTGATGGGACGTTGGGTGCGGCTGCTAACAGTACTTTGTGGTTTTGCACCTGTACGGGAGACCGCCCTTTTGATATTTCGTGTAATGTACCGTATGTCGGACGTGACCGCGCCCCCCTGCATCTGGTCCGCGCGGGTTGCGCCTGCACCCCGCCTACGCCCGCTGTGCCCGGTCTGCTCGGCGCGCCGCAACACCCCAAACTCCCCGACCGTGCAGAAACCGTCGGAAGCCCTCACTCGCCATGGCCGGAGCATCCCCACGTTCCGCAGGCGGGTTGAACGCGGTCGCGTTCGGTGCGGCTGGCCCCTCCGGTTCCGCCATGCTCCATGGCGGAGCGGTGCTTTCTCTCCCTCCGGGGATATTTGTGGATCCGTGCATGCAGGGATGAAGGGGCCTAGGGGTGCCTTTGGTCGGCCCAGACGAAGCGGGCAAAGTCGCCCTTGCGTGCCGCAATGGGCTGGGCGGAGCGGAGGCATGGGCCTTGGCCGCTGGCTCTGGAACGCCCCACCTTTGGATCAAGCGCGCTTTTGACGCAACGACGCGCTGGCGAGTGGGGCATCTGGACGGCCAACTGCTCGCCGTCAATGCCTATTGGGTTGCGTCCATCCCCAACGTTCGGTTGGGGCATCGGCTATGGCGGAGCGTCCATGCCGCGAACTGGCGCGGCGAAGGGGTGTGGAGCCTCTCCGATTGAGATGCATGGATGGCCGCCGAGCGCGACCGCCCGGACGAGCCTCCAGCACCGTTTGCTTGGGCCGGGGAGGGCTGCGTGGGCGGCCTCGCCGAGGGGGACGGAGTGCTGCCGCTGGAGAGCGCGTGCTAGTCGT